ATATATATATATATATATATAGTTTCAAGTTCCAGATCATTTTTTCTGAAATCCAATTATGCTTACAATATTTATTTTTTTTGTTTTTTTATGTGACTATAAAAAAACAATACATTTAATTTTAAACATTTTTTTTATGTAATTGTTTACATTTTTTTTTGAGATTTTTTTTGGATTTTTTGAGTTTTTTTTGGGATTTTTTTTATATCAAAATTGCATTTTTCAGAAAAAATCGAGACACTAATCGACTGATCTAGTCGGACTAATCAAATCGGGCCATGACCAACTAGTAAGCCTGATCCGTTGTTTTGAACACTGTATATGACACATATTTTAGGATCGTGTCAATATATAGCACATCTTTTAAGATAGTGTCCAAGCTACATTGTCAGTCATAAGAGATGTATTATTCATCATTTATACATTATAATTATTCCATCCAGAAAATCGAATCGGCCTCAGAAACCGGTAACTTGAACCGGCCTAACCAGGTAGGTCTCGACTAGTCCAAAACGTTTTTAAATTATAATAAAATATAAAAAATCCAAAAAAATATGAAAAGCATATTTAAAGCATGATTAAACAAAACACTTCCAAATAAAGTTGAAAGTAGTGAAAAAATAGATCTAAAAAATTGATTTGTGCCCAGGGTTATTTTTGAAATATTTTAAAAAGATGGAAAAATATAAAAATAAATATTCACGGCCAAAACACTTTCCAATCTTTACCAAAATGATAAAAAATATTCAAAACACATTACCATAAAAAATGGCTAAAACCGGATTGGTTTGCCAATTTTGCATTGGACTAGCAAGTGCCCAATTCCGATTTGATCCACCGGTTCTGCGTTGAACCGGCCGAGTTCACGAGCACTAATTCCAACTCATGATCCTATGTATTTTGAAATTATATCAAATGATATGGGTAAAACATTAAAGGGAAAACGTAGGATGAGGCCTTACCTTTGATACAAGGTGTGACATTAATCTTGACCATTGGATGTGAAATTGAGTGGCTGTAATTATTTCATTGATCAAGCTCGAACTTCAAAAGAAATTTTTTCGAATTTTAAGACACTTTCAAGCTATCAAACTTCACATCAAAATAGTTATAAGTAATTGTGACCACTTTGAATCAAAACATCAAATAGTTATAAGTAATTGTGAGCACTTTATATCAAAAGTAAATAGTATACCATCCCAACATTAAATTCATCATCTCTCTATAATTTTTAAAATTTGATAACTTGCCTTTCTAACTATTACTTTTCCCTTAAGAGATAGCGTGTGTTTAACTCAAATCAAGGTGATTCTAACCTCACCGAGGCAAAAACTAATGAGAAAGGCGGCAAAAACTGATTTTACCCGCTTACATTAGTTTGCAAGCTTTTCTATGGGCAGCATAAATTTACCATGTCCGATCGTTATTATGAATGGATGAACCTAATCATAATTTTATTTTTTATTTTTTTATATAATATATTTTGATACCAAATTTTGAGTGTTCACTCTACTTTCAAACTCCCACTTGTAAAAATTATAAAAACAAATATTTCAAACGTGTCTCATTAAAAAAATGGCATGTACTAAATTTTATATTCATACGATTTATAAAAATAAAAAGATGACACGTACCAAATTTTATATCCATATAATTTATAAAAATATAATAAATAAATTATTATATTCATACGATTTATAAAAATAAAAAGATGACATGTACCAAATTTTATATCCATATAATTTATAAAAATATAACAAATAAATTATTATAAACTTTATATCTAAATCAATCCGACACTATCCTATTTGATCTAAATTGGATAGCTGAACGAAGAGATATATACGTTCCACATTAGAAGTATAACAAACCTTTCCTAAAACTAATAACTGATGTGAGGGCGAAGCAAAACCTGTCCTTTGTCTTAGACACTTTTTAATAACTGTACCCTGAAATAAATGCAATTTATAAGCAAAACTAATTGAAAGGGGCAACAACTCAAAAACCACTTCACATTTTCCAAAACCACTTCAAACTGCTGATAAAAAACCACCACCCTTTCCCATCGCTCCTCAGTGTTCTTAAGGCAAGCTTTCTCTCTCTTAACCAAAACCCCATCTCTCTCTCTGTCTCTCTACAAAAACCATTTTCCCCAAACTCTCAAACAATTCCACCATCACCAAAAGGTTAGTTTTCTACTATTTCTCATCCATGCTTTCTCTTCACCCCTTATTTGAAGGCCATTTTCCTAGGCTTTTTTCACACCACCCCTCTCTTTCTCTAGCCATATAGAATCATTTATCCCCTCTCTCTAGCCCTTATTTGAAGGCATTTTCTTAGGGTTTGTTCGCATTAACCCTTACAACCTATTCCTTAGAGATAGGGCCACAGACAAAAACCCTTTTCTTGGCTTCAATCTCACTCTATACACTTCCAAACCCCCATCATTTTCCCTGCCTTTTTAAGCTTCCCTTTTTTGACACCAAAATCACTCTCTCTTCCTTCTCTCTCTCTCCATATATTTTCCTTAAAGTGCTAATAATTGCATACATATTGATTTATTACAAAAGTAAGGCCCCCAATTTGTTGTGGGTCTCTTCCAAAACATGTTATGAGAACAAGGTTCTTCTCTCTCGCTCTCTCTTCGTTTTCGATGTTTATGGAATGATCACTCTTGAGATCTTTCTCTTCCCCTCTCTCTACATTTTTTATTTTTTTCATAATATTATATGATGTTTTTTATTCGTTTGTTGAGTGAGTACGGTTGAGATCTCTCTTTTCTCCTTTCTTTCTCTACGTTGTTTATTTTTTCATAATATTATATGATTGTTTTATATTTTTTCAAAACACTTTAGGTTATATAAATCTCATTATGGCTCTAAAATCAATTTTTAATGCAGAGAATAAAATTTGAAACTCAAAAAATTATACAAATCTAGTAGATATATGAACACTTATTTTTAGGGTGTAATACTAGATAATTTGTTAAAATATGAAATGATCGAGGTAAAGGTTGTCAAATTAACTAACCTCAAAAAACAAAAAAAAGACAAGAAGGTTGTCTAATAAGTTATAATTTCTTATGAGTCCTTAGATGAGGGTTTACTTCTTATGATGGGGGCTGCAGCTATATGTATAGGTAATGAATCTGTCAACTCTATTGTTTTTTGATGTGGTTTTTATAAGGCCTAGGTTTTACCAAAATAAAGTAAAACCTGACTTCAAATCCCAACAAAAACCTTTTTGATGCTCTAAAAAATCAAATTTCAAAGCCGACAATAAAATTTAAAGCTAAAATAATAACACAGATCTTAAGAATTTTAAGGTTAAATAGATGGCTTAGATAGCATTTTGCAGCATACGCTATTTTTAGAGTTTTAAATCCTAAATTTGTTTCTTAAACATAATTTTCAAACCATAGATATTAAGGTTTTTGAATGCTTGAATTGCATTGTTGAATGAATTATGAGGTGAGGCTTCACTTTGATAAGGCTGGAGCCTTATCAAACTATTTTCATCTCTCTAAAATATATTGCTTTTGATGGGTGCATTGCTAGTAGGTGATAGAGAGAGAGAGAGAGAGAGAGATGGAAGTTTCCTTGACCTTTATGTTGTTTTGTAGTTGGTTGGTGGTTTTCCATGGTAAAAGGAATATTCATGTCCAGCGCCCTTGCCTTTCTTGGTTGGTTCATTGTGATGTTCTGTTTAGAGAGAGAGAGAGACCTATTTTTTAGAACATTTTAGAGAGGGAGAGGGAGAGGGAGAGGGAGAGAGAGAATCATTTATTTTATTTTTTTAATTCCTGCTGTTTCTAGTTTGCAGGTTGCTGTTGATGGTTCACGTAATTTCCACTGTAGTTGTCTGCATTCCTAATTTCTTTGTGGTGGGGTCCTAGAGAGGAGAGAAAAAAGATAGAGAGAGAGAGAAGGAACTTAGAGAGATAAAGAGATCTTGGGTGGGCTCACGGAAAGAGAGGGAGAGAGGAAAAAGATAGAGAGAGAGAAGGAATTTAGAGAGAGAAAGAGATCTTGGGTGGGCTCACGGAAAGAGAGGGAGAGAGAAAAAGGGTAGAGAGAAGAGAGAGATTATGTAGAGACAATGAGGTAGAGAGAGAAGGGCTTGGAGAGATTAGAGAGAGAGAGAGGGAGAGAAGGTGTAGAGAGAGAGCTTTATTTTGGGTGTGCTTTGAAACGTGTTGAAAATAAAGAATTGGTGGGAATTATGACTTTTTTTACTGGTTAGTTAGTAAATGGCGGAGGGGTAGATCTCAGATGAGTACGCGTATTTATATATATAGCCTGATTCCTTCTCTCTATATCAGGTCCCTTCTCCTCCATTTTCTCTGAGCTAGGTTTTCTCTAAACCTTTCTTTGAGGGATAAAGAAGAAGCCCCAAAGGTAATAACAAAACCCCATTTCTCCGATTTTGTCCATGAGTTGATTTGAGCGTCATTTTGGGTTGGTTCTGCTTCTTTGTTCAAGATCTGTGACTTTTTTTGGATCTTGGGTCTTTTGTTATTTGGGTTTTGATGTGTATATTCTGGGTTTCTCTGTTTCTTTAATGGGTTTTCTTGGGCATTTTGTGTTTTTGAGTTCTGGATTTTAATGTGATTTTTCTTTTTCTTTCCCTTCTTTCCTGATCTGAATTGTGTTGATCTATTTTAAGAGAGATTGGTGCTTGATTTTCTTAGATCTGATCCAATTCTGGTTTCTATGCTCTTTTAACATGTTTTGAAGATGAAAATTTTCATTATGATTCTCAAAAAATTGTTGAACTCCTGCAAATTGATATGGTTTTTTAGGAGCATTTGATGGAATATCTATCTATCACACATGAATAATTGTTCTGTAAAAATTTCAAATTCTCGTAATCTTTTGCTCATCTTTGAATAGGTTGCTTGATCCTTGTCTTGTGGTGGTGTTGGTTTGTCATGGAAGAAGAATTCTCAAAATTGTGGGGAATCTCTCTCTCTCTCTCTCTCTCTCACACACACACACACACACCAACAAAAAATTCAGGAAATTACCACTTTTCACAAACATAATAGTTGAGATCTGGGGCCTGATCCTTGTCTTTACCCGATAATGGGCAGGGTTCTTGGTTCAGGATCTATTGCATATGGCTTGTTGGTTTCTCAAATTTCACTTTTGTCTTTTCCATTTTCCTCCTCTATCATTTACTTGTTCATTTTGCCTTATTTCATTGTGCTTTTCACTACTCATTTTTCACGAAATTGCTGTTTTCCATATCAAAGGTGATGTGTTTCTTTGTGATCACGATCTGCCTAAATGCAGTGCTATTTATAATTGAAAGGCAACAAAGAAACTATAGATCTGTTAACTGTGATCCTTCTTTTCCAAGCTATTGCCTCTTTGGGCTCTCCAGTCTTGTAGGATGGTTCCCTTGGTGCAACCTTGTATGACATTTCTTAGATTTAAAACTAAAATTTCATGTTCATTTTATTTTATAATTAAATTTGCTGGTCATTTTTTATTAGGTTTTTTAGGTAACCAACAAGATTGATTAGCCTTATATATATCGTAGATGTGCGATTGAGGGATCTTCTAGTTTATATAGTGTTTATTGGGCTCAATCATGATAGAAATTAAGAGAACATAGGAAAATTACTGATATTGACAATCATTCGGACAACCCACCATTTATAGTATGGGTTCTAGATTGGTTGCTCAACTTGCTTATATGTACTAGAGGAAGTTGTTCGTTTTTTATTTTGGTATGTTGTAGATCTGTAATTGTCTACTATGTCCTTTTCGTAGATTTTTCTGTACATACAGGATATTTACACAATACATAAATGAATGCATGAATATGGGTGTGTTCGTACAAGTATTGGAAACAAGGACTTGGGCTCAGCCTTGTCAAGGTCCTGAGCTCAATTCAGCATCCGAATTGGCCGATTCAGAGATCTGACTCGGCTGAGTCTCTAGTGACTCGGGCAAGTCTGAGTCCAAGTCACTGGTTTCTAAAATGTTGGTTCATACATGTTTGTGTGTATTTCAGTATTTCTATCTTCCAAGGTAATGTCGATGGATTTCTGATTACAAGTTGGTTCCCTATATTTTTCTTCCTATTCTATCCGTATATCTCTGAAAAATCATAAACATCTCCTCTTTTGAGCCCATGGTTTTTGGCACCTATTCATGGAAATTCTCCATATGCTCTAATGATTTATCAATTGGGGTCTTTTGCTTCATTTGGTAGTTAAAATGATCTGTTTTGCATGATTTCCTTCTTTGCTTCTGTTCATTAACATTATTGGAATACAACAATGGTTCAAGGTTCTCTCCTTTGTTTACCTCCATAAATTAGAAGTTGGATGTCTGCATCCATTTTAATCTTACTATATTTTCAATCACCAGTTCGTATGATTGAAACCTCTATATTCTCTTTCCTTTTTTTAAAAAAGTATCTCATTTTTTTAGTTTTTCTGTTTGTTGGGAGCCAGCAACTAGAACTGATCGATACTATTTGTATCATTTTCCTCTCCATTGTACCTTATACATGGCCCTTGTGTGTGTCTCTTAAGAGTGTGTGTGTGTGTGAAGAGAGAGAGAGAGAGAGAGAGAGAGAGGGCTTTCTTTTGTAATTTCCATATAATGTTTCATATGTAGGAACCAATTATGTAAGAACTAATTATTATACAAACACATTCACATATTGAACTACAGATCATCAAAATGGTGAAGATCTGCTGCATTGGAGCCGGCTATGTCGGGGGGCCCACCATGGCTGTGATTGCCCATAAGTGCCCTGCCATCGAGGTCGTCGTTGTAGACATCTCTGTCGCCCGAATCGCTGCATGGAACAGTGATCAGCTCCCAATCTACGAGCCAGGCCTCGATGATGTGGTCAAGAGCTGCCGATGTAAAAACCTATTCTTCAGTACTGATATTGAAAAACACGTATCAGAGGCCGACATAATATTTGTTTCTGTAAATACCCCTACCAAGACTCGAGGTTTGGGGGCAGGCAAGGCTGCCGATCTCACCTACTGGGAAAGTGCGGCTCGAATGATAGCTGATGTTGCCAAATCGGATAAAATTGTGGTCGAAAAATCAACTGTTCCTGTGAAAACAGCAGAGGCCATTGAAAAGATTTTGATGCATAATAGTAAGGGAATCAACTTCCAAATTTTATCAAATCCTGAATTCTTAGCTGAGGGCACTGCAATTGAAGACCTTTTCAAACCTGATAGAGTGCTCATTGGTGGTCGAGAGACCCCTGAGGGCCAAAAGGCAGTGCAGGCGCTAAAAAGTGTTTATGCCCATTGGGTACCTGAGGATAGAATCCTAACCACGAATTTGTGGTCTGCTGAGCTCTCGAAGCTCGCTGCTAATGCCTTTTTGGCCCAAAGAATCTCTTCAGTTAATGCCATGTCTGCCCTTTGTGAGGCTACAGGGGCTGATGTAGCTGAAGTGGCCTATGCAGTGGGTAAAGACACTCGAATTGGGCCTAAATTCTTGAATGCTAGTGTTGGGTTTGGTGGGTCTTGCTTCCAAAAAGATATTCTCAACTTGGTTTATATTTGCGAGTGCAATGGCCTCCCTGAAGTTGCGAATTATTGGAAGCAAGTTATCAAGATCAACGATTATCAGAAGAGCCGGTTCGTTAACAGGGTGGTCTCCTCTATGTTCAATACAGTTGCTGGTAAAAAGATAGCGATTTTGGGATTTGCTTTTAAGAAGGACACCGGTGATACTAGAGAGACCCCAGCCATTGATGTGTGCAAAGGACTTCTTGGGGATAAAGCAAATGTGAGTATCTACGATCCCCAAGTGACTGAGGAACAAATTCAGAGGGATTTGTCGATGAACAAGTTTGATTGGGACCATCCGATTCATTTGCAGCCAATGAGCCCAACCGCTGTTAAGCAAGTCGGCGTGGTTTGGGATGCTTATGAAGCGACAAAAGGGGCTCATGGGGTGTGCATTTTAACGGAGTGGGATGAGTTTAAGGAGTTGGATTATCAGAGGATTTACGATAATATGCAGAAACCAGCTTTTGTGTTTGATGGGAGGAACATTGTGGATGTTGAGAAGCTGAGGAAGATGGGGTTCATTGTTTACTCAATAGGGAAACCCCTTGATGCATGGCTTAAAGACCTGCCTGCTGTTGCTTAGGTGAGTGAGGAAGACTAATTTGGGTTCTTTCTTTTCGGGGTTTGTGGGCTGGCTGATATTCAATTCAAGCTATAGGAAGACGGTAATTCTTTTTGGTCATTCATGTTATAGTCTTTCTTTTTTTATGTCTCTTGATCGTGGTTTTTCTATCTTGGGTCGGTTGTTAGAATCATGGATGTTTTGATTAAGGATGGCTCCTATGTGGTAGAGCCACCTCTCTTCCTAATTTGTTTCTCGTTACAGGTTCCATGCAGTAGTTGAGCATCCGGATTTTCTTTTGTTATAATTTTTGTTATAGTTGAATGGTTTCGTTTTGTCCGAGTACTATGGATACATTGCTCTCTCTCTCTCTCCACACGCACACAGGTGTTCTTGTGCACGTGTTTGTATTCACTAGTAATTTGTCTGTCCTCAATGCCATGGCTGGGTAGGTTTGAATGTCTCTCTCTCTCTCTCAAGCGCAAACACAAGCAGCAGAAGTTTGCATCTTTTCAAGCTGCTTAGAGAGAGAGAGAGAGAGAGAGCAAATTTGAGTGCTGAGGTTTGTTAATGTCTGAGACGGGATAGCTTGGAAGGATGCAATCTTATTTGTTACAAGTTTCAATGGATAATGAATAGGGTGCTCTAATTCTTCAGCTTTTTGCTCCATAACTGTTGGATTTTACATTTGATAGCTAAAAAATAATTGTGATCTTTTTATACCAAAGGGGAAGGTAAGTTTTTATTCTATGCCGAATCATTTGAACTTGCAGTGATTCAACATCTTCCGAACTGACTTCGACCATGGTTACTAATATACTATTAGACTTCCAATTTAACATTTGATAGTTAGAGATAGTTTAGAGATCATTGTGACTTTTTTGTATCAAGGGGGAATAGTCTTATTCTTATACATAAAAAGACTTAAAAGTGTTCTAATAAATATGCTCTGTTATATATCTTTTTGGAGTTTCAGGACTAATGATCTTATAATGATGCAAATACAAACCAACCAGTGCTCCAAAAGATTGATAAGCTTGAGGTGATTTGACCAGAAGTGCTGTAATCCTTCAGTGGGCTGATAAATCTTTTGTAGTGTTTTTAACGTAAGTGGTCGAAAAAACACCAAAAAAAGCATGAAGAATACTCGGTGCTCTGGGTTTTACTTCGTGAGTTTTATAAGAGTACTTACCTTTTATCCCTTCACTTATTATTAGAGAAAAATGTTATATGCGTTAGGGGATGCATAACTACATTTACGATCTCCTGAAGCACCACACATCCATCTTTAAGATGGATATAGAGAGCGGTCCCTTCAAAAAAATTTAAAAATCACTGGCCCAAAAATTTTTCCTAAAAAAATATCAGTTTTAGTTTTTACGATTTCTTTACTTATACATACTGATCACCATGTTAGAGATTATATATACCTAAAACCTTAGGTCCAAAATTCATCTAAAAAATACATCAAGAAGAAGGGTCATATAGCTACTACATATGCGTCTAGGACTCAAAAAATTGTATCATGTAGTGATCCAATAGACAAGGGGAAAGGTTTTGATAGGGCTTTAGGCATATCAAAATAAGTAAAGCCTCACTTTAAAACTGATAAAAAACTACAGTTCTGAAGTCGGGATACCTTCAAATCTATCACTTCAACCTTGACCATTACGGTTGTAAATAAGATTTAGCATTTCAAATTTTAAAAATGGTGCATATTGAAACACATAATCCAGACTGTCCATTTTGCCCTAAAAATAAGTGTTTGTGGTTTGTAATATCTGTACTATTTATTGAACTTCAAAATTCATAATCGATGATTGAAATTGATTTTAAAACTATCATGAAGATCTTCAATACTCAAAATGCATTCCAGAATAAAATTCAAGGTGAAACTTCACTTTGTTTTCGCAAAGCCTAGAATATGCATATATTACCAGATTATATGCAATGACAATGTCATTTTTGGAATCTACTGGAGCCCTTGAATGTACAATCAAATAGTTGGCCCATCATTTCTCCATGCAATTTTTTTTAAGATTTTGAGCATGGCCAATGTACAATCAAGTAGTTGGCCTATCATTTCTTCATGCAAATTTTTTTTTTAACACTTTTCAGCCTAATTTTGCCTATGATGTCATATTTTTGTACCAAAGAGGGAGGTCTTATTGCACGAAAAGTATTAGCGAGTCAAAGACGCTTGCATCCCTTGACCATCAAAATGGATGTGAAAAAATTGAGACCACGTCAAAATCTTAAATACAAAGTACAAAATAGGGGCAATTTATCAAAATACCTATTAAACATGAAGTATTTAACATTTTGACCATTTGCCATATCCGCACTCAAGGCTTTCTTGTTTTTTTATGGTATTTTGAAAATAAACCAAAAGATATGGTTTTTTTTTCAGGGTATTTTGAAAATAAACCAAAAGATATGGTTTTTTTTTTTTCAAGGTATTTTGAAAATAAACCAAAAGATATGGTTTTTTTTTAAGGTGAGTCAGTGGAAGGTATTTTGAAAAGGGTAAGCTTTCTATGCTTCCCTTACAATATAAAATTTATATGTTTCCCCTTATCCAACCCTCCATTCTAAATGGAGGGTTAAGATTTCCCTAATCACAATGTCACATCTCTACACTATTTTATTTTTAATTTTTTTTATAGAAAATATTTTGACACCAAATTTTGAGCGTCCAATCTTCTATTAAACTTGCACTTTAAAAAATATAAACAAAATATTTCCAATAAAATAAAATGATCAAAATGCCTCTAAAAGTTTCAAGGGGTATTTTTATCATTATATTATATAAAAAATTAATTTTAATTTTTTTTTTAAAGTGTGCCCCAATGATAAGATGACATGTACCAAATTTCATATTCATACAATTTGTATTAAAAATTAAAAATAAAATACTATGAGACATCGGATCTAGGATCAAACGGTGAGTGAGTCGCTTGATCAAAATTGGACGGCTGCATCATAGAGGGGAATGGTGTAAGGGAAAAATAGAAACCTTTCCCTTTTGAAAATAAATTAAGAGATGGTTTTTTTTTTTGGTGGGGGTGAGTTAGTGGGAAGAGAGCCTCTACCCTTGGTGGAATGGAGCCTAGAAAATAGCGTTGCAAATCGTCAAGTACTAACCAATTAAACCTGAGCTTTTTTTTTTTGTTAAATTATTATATTCATCTTTTATAGGTAATTTGATAAACTTTTTACAAAAAAAATCCAAAACAAAAAAAACGCTTTTAAAATATTATTATAATTACTATTATTATTATGGGTGCAGTTTGTATAGAGCCTCGGCTCTAAACAATCAAATTAGAGCCTACCTTCAAATAGTGTCAAAAATGTGGTTTCAATACTGGAAATCTTTGTGATAGCCTTAAAATATATTTTCATATTTATTTATAAAGTTTAAAGCTTCAAAAATAGTATAGATAGACAGATCTATGAAAACTTAAAAATCTTAAAAATTGACCATCCAAAAATGCGTTACTAAATACACTATTTCTAAAACTTTAAATCCATTTTTTTCTCATGTCTATGCATCTTGATGTTGAGATGATCAATTTAAAGATATGTTGGCATCAAAACAACCTCCTCTAGTGACTTTTTGAAGTAGGCTCAAATTTGATTGTTTAGAGCCTTGGCTCTATATAAACTTTTCCCTATTATTATTGGTACGGTTTGTATAGAGCCGAGGCTCTAAATAATCAAATTAGAGCCTAAATAGAATCCAAAAATATTGTTTCAATACTGAAAAGTTTTGTGATAGCCTTAAATTACATTTTCATCTTTAATTATAAAATTTAGGTAAAAGATTATATAGAGTCGAAGCTCTAAACAATCAAATTTGAGCCTATCTCAAAAATTTCACTAGAAGAAGTTGTTTGGATGCCCAAATATCCTCAAATCGATCATCTCGACATCAAGATGCATGGACATGAGAAAAACATGGATTTCAAATTTTGAAAATAGTGTATTTTTAAATTCATTTTTGGACCGTCAAATTTCAAGATTTTCATAGATCTATCGCTCGACACTATTTTTTAAGCTTTAAACTTTATTAATAACGATGAAAATATATTTTAAAGCTATCACAAATATTTTCAATATTGAAACTACTATTCTCAACGCTATTTGAAGATAGGCTCTAATTTGATTGTTTAGAGCCTAGGCTCTATACACACCGCACCCTAAAATTTAAAGCTACAAAAATAGTACAGATCTACAAAAATTTAAAAATTGATGGCCCAAAAATACATTCCAGTATCCCTATTTCCAAAACTTGAAATCCATTTTTTTCTCATGTCCATGCATCTTGATGTGGAGATGGAAATGATCAATTTGATGATATTTAGGTATCAAAACCACATCTTCTAGTGAACGTTTCGAGGTAGGCTCTAATTTGATTGTTTAGAGCCTACGCTCTATATAAAATTTTCCCTATCATTATTATCATGATCTTCATGTACTAAAGATCGCCAAAAAATTCAAATCCAAAATCTATCTTTAAATTGAATTTTAGAGGAGGGTCGCACATGAATATACAACTCAACGGGGTCACAGAAACCCCTCCAGTCGTATACCCATAGAGATATTACTATAGGACTACAAAAACTATAGAGAATCCAAAATATCACTATTATCGCTACATTCGCACACACGCCCCAAATGGGGAAGAGAGAGAGAGACCGACCCAAGGTAGGGAAGAGAGAAGAAGAGAGAGACGACCCAATGAGAGAGAGAGAGAGAGAGAGAGAGAGAGAGAGAGAGAGAGACCCCAAATGGCAGTTACAAAATTCCCTTCTATTTCACACTCTTCTTTCTTCCTTGGCCCTTTTTGAAGAGGGTAAAAATATTCAAAATTTCAACAGCAATGCTTTTATGTACAGTTTCAAGTAACATGGAATGGCCACACATCTTCTCCACTGGCCATAACAAATACAAAGAGAATAAAATAAAATATTTGCCATGACAGATACAAAGAGGCAAAAGGAAAAAAAAATACAGAGGTACAACAAGGCAATCAGGTTAATCCATTGTAGCACGACCTTGTCCCCGTGGCATCTTTCGTGATCCAGCTGCAAGTAAATGCTCTTTAGCAATCAGAACCATGAGAGTGGGAGAGAGAGGGAGAGAGATGACCTTTGGTATCTTTCAATCTAATGCGCTGAAATACAGTCTCAAGTTCTAAATTCCATGTGTTTTTTTGTAAATCTTTGGTATCTTTCAAATGTAATGAGGTGCATTCTCAACAGTGTATGCGTGTCAGAGAGGGAGAGAGATGCCAAAAGTCTTTCAAATGTAATGAGGTGTATTCTCAACAGTGTGTCTGCGTGTCAGAGGGGGAGAAAGAGATGACCTTTGGCATCTTTCAAACCTAATGCGTTGAAATGAAGTCTCAAGTTCTAAATTCCATGTGTTTTTCATAATCTTTGGTATCTTTCAAATGTAATGAGGTGTTTTCTCAACAGCGCGTATGCGTGTCAGAGAGGGAGGCCGGCGGGAAGTGAGACAGAGAGGGGGAGAGAACTTACAATCCTCAACGTCTTTTAACTGATAGTAGTGTGGAGCAATCTCAACCAACCACTCGGGCTTCAACTCAATTACCTGCAATTTATTGTTGAACAAATGGAAGATCAAACAAATCGATCCCATGGGTAAACCAAAAAGTGAAAAAAACATTTCATGTTTACACTTAAAAAAAAAAAGCAGACAAATACCTGGCGCATATATTCTTTTGTTGTCATCACCAGCTCATAATAGACAACCCATCTAGGAAGTGCCTGGAAGGAGAACCAGAATCATTTGCACTAAAAAAAATAGAAAAGAATAAACCAACACATGGAATTATATTGAACATTAATTTTGAAGCCTCTTGTTTACTGTTGAATTGGGAAAGGATAGAATAAGATTATTTATCTTTGGTATATAAAAGGCACCATCATTCCTAATCATTAGAAGTGAGAGCTGAGGTGTGCCAATCACCCTCAAAAGTTCAAGAAAATTTTTCTTGGACTCCCTGGAGAAGTAGAACCCCAATCGCCTGAATTCACATCTGATGGCTAGGGATTGTTACCTTTTTTGTGCTAAAGGTGAACAATCTTATTATATACAATCCCAATTGAATTTAGGTCATCACTATCCATATAAATGACGAGCAGGGATGTAGAAAGAGTGGAGCCCAAAAAGAGAACTGCTCATTGTTTGAATGGATGATGATAACCCAAAAGGACTATGGCTATTTCCTTAGTCCGTACATTTGTAGTATACTTCCTTTTTAAATTAAGTATACGGTCTCAAGCTATATAAAAAAGAGTACCTCTGCAAGACCAGAACTAGGGTGGATGTGCACATTTTGTGGGTTTTTAACTGTGCGATATGACCCATTCTTCTGTAGCCGGGCTGAATTGTGAAAATATCCTGCAAAAGTTTCCATATAGAATGTAAGAAATACCCATTAGAATCTTTGCATCTAGGAGAAAGGAAAGCATATCTCTCCTCCATATGTACAATTAAAAAAGAAATTAAACCATTGACCCATTTATATTATAGAGGTGCATTAAGGGTTTCCTCATAGAATATACCTGCTGTTATAGCTTTCCTTATCGACTCATGATCATTTTCATTTGTTGAAGGTTCTATCTCCACTCGCTCCAGAAGAGCCTCCAACTGGTCTCTGATATCTCGCGCACGTTTCATACTTCGCACCTAACACATCGAGACAAGCAGGTAATTGAAATCTAAAACACCAAAGAGATAAAGAGTTCAGGCAGTTTTATTATCACAAACTGTCTATTACATCTCATTTTTCCGTTCATGTGTGATCTTTGAGTGTAGCTAAGAAATAATGATATTGAACAAAATGTGACATAAGCATTTGAGAATAGTCATTTTTCAGATCAGAAGCTCTGAAAGGGTTCTATAAACTGGTTCTGGTTATGGGCAAATTTTGCTTTTAGGGTGATCCAAAACCAAAAAGCACTGACAGATGAATCTCCAACAAAAGCTAAGTAGCAAACCTTTTGTAATTCAACTACCTGTATATAATTCTCATAGCACCATTGGGTGGAATAGTTGGTTTCTTTCCAGGAATTGTACACCTGCAACAACAAAACCATTAAGTACCCCTGAATTCTCCTTGATGAAATCATGATGGAAACTTTTAAAACCAGCTCAGCAAATGTTTCCTGGTAGCCTAAGACTATTCAATGCATTTCGAACTCTATAAGCCCCAAAACCTCCTCTCCTTGTGGCAAAAAGAATGTAAAAAGCGAAAAGCAAAATAAGAATAATTTCACAAAGAAGATAAAGGAGCTGAGAAACTCAGGATTTGTCACAATCTCAACATTTACGGAAAAAGGAAATGTTGAGATCTTGAGTTTCAGGACAGTTGCTTTTTCTGCTCCTAAAGTGTCATGCAGTAACTTGGTAAATTTTCTTTTCATACTCTCTTATTTATTGAATAAATTGACATTTCCCCAACAAATAAAAAATAAATAACTTGGCGAGTCTAAAAAGAGCCCCTAGGAGAGATCTTTTAGCAAATTGTTTTTTTTTTTTTAATCTAAGCAAATATAAATCATTTCAAAGAAAGAAACCAAAGAATTTACCAAAAATTAAAGTTTTTAAAAAAAGAACCACCTTGAGCAATGCTATATGGTCCCCAACATTGCCTGTATGGAAATTCATCCTTGCATTATCAGCATGCACTTGCTTATCCTTTGGTCGATAAAAGATCGAATTCCCAACCGATAACATAGCAGCGATTGTAATGACCTCCTCAGAGCATTTATACTTGTCAGAAGCAATTATCATCTTTGAAAGCATGGGATCAAGAGGAAACTCTGCCATCCTTCTCCCCAACTTTGTCAACTCTCCCCTTTTATTAAGTGCGTTTAGGGCAAACAGCTGCTCAAGAGCCTTGATTAATGCCTCAGAAGGTGGGGAATCCATGAAATCAAAATTAACCAGGTCATTAATACCCAAGCTCTTAAGTGTTAGGACCACATTGGCCAAGTTAGTTCTTTGTATCTCTGGTATTGTGTTATCCTCCAACTCATTCTGATAACTGTAAGCAGTATATAAGCGGAAGCATTTTCCAGGGCCAGTCCTTCCTGATCTACCGGCTCTTTGTAGTGCAGATGCCTTTGAAATTGGGGTAATAAGCAAAGACTCCATTCCAGTTCTTGGGTTATAGGATTTCATCTTGCAAAACCCTGGATCAATGACATATTTAATACCATCAATTGTGAGAGAGGTTTCTGCTATGTTGGTAGCCAAGACAACTTTGCGAGCCCCTTCTGGTGTGGGTTCAAAGATCTTGGCTTGGAGGTCAGTAGGTAAGTTGGCATATATTGGGCATATAATAAGTTCAGCAATTCTTGTTCCTAAGCCCCTTGTTCTATGCTTTAGAATCTCTTCTGCTGCTTCGATTTCTTCCTGCCCTGTGAGGAACACAAGAACATCACCAGGTGGTTGGGTTACATGAATTTGGAGCACCGTGACAATTGAAGCTTCTAGGTAGTCTGCTTCTGGTGATTTTGTGTAGTGAATGTCAACAGGAAAACGGCGACCAGGGATTTTAAAGATTGGTGCTGAATCAAAGTAATCACTGAACTTTTCAGCATCGAGTGTGGCGCTCGATATGAGCAGCTTGATATCAGGCCGAAATCGAGTAATGTCCTGAATATACAGACAAATGAGGAACCAAATATCAAAACTACAATTCCAATGTAAGCATTATATAACATAGGGAAAGTGTGCCATAATCCAATGGCTGGTACTTCAAGGGGCAATCCACCGTCAGTTTCTGATGACGAACAGACAAATGAACTGTATATACCTTGTAAACGTTTGGTGCACCCAGTACTCATTCTCCGTCGTCCCTTAGAAGGAAAGAAGGGTGGATGTCCTGCCGAGTAAGGACAATACTCCATTGGATTATAGCATGCTGACCCAAAAACGTATACATATTAAAACATTCATACATACAAAATATAAGGAGTTATCTAAATATAACCCCAATAGTTAGAAAATAATAAGATATTTTCAATACAGCCTGGGATAACACATGCATCAAACACCTCACAAGCAAGTAGTAGAAATATCCAGATACTTCAAATTGGTTTAAAAAGCAAAAAAACCAAAGATAAATACTTGCGAATCAAAAGAAATGAGTGCACAGTTTTTGTTTAGTAGGTGGACGTGTGAATATACAGTAGCTGTAAGCGGAATTTCTTTTTAAGGTTCATAGTTTCTATATAATTCCTTAAACATATTTTTTCAAGCAATGGATTCATGATTCAATAAATATCAAGGCTCTGGGAATCCTCAGAAAGGAAGATTAAAAGTTAATTGAAGAACTTAAGCAAAGAAAGTGAAGTATTGAGAATAAAAAAGAGAAAAACCTAGAAAAAGAAAGAATGGATAGAAAAGAGAAAAAGAAAGCAAACAGAATGATTAGAAACTATTCTGTTAAGGTACAATTCCACAAATGCAACCAAAGTCGAATCCTTCTAATAAAGTCTCAAGAGCTTGCCTTTACTAAACCAAATAATATATCTGTTGACAATGTCCTCTCGTGTGCCTCATCCACCATAATGACACTGAAAACAAGTAAACTAATTAGGATTCAAAGTACTTATTTCTTAAATGAAACATGCTACATTTTATAACAAACCATTATGTAAAATGTATACATAAAAACCAACTTCTTACAGACCTATAGCTTGCCAAGTCCGGTTCCCCAAGGAATTCTCGCATCAACATTCCATCTGTCATGTACTTTAAAATGGTTTTGTCTGAAGTGCAATCTTCAAATCGTATAGAATAGCCAACCTAAAGTCAAATCCCACTTCTAAATGTAAGAATATTTTACAACATTTCACACAGACAAGCAGTGCATAACTCTTACATTGACCTACTACATATAAACATATATATGACCATGTCCTTCCGATATAAAAACCTTCAGGCCATGCTCTGTTATCTAGATAGAGAGAGGAGATCAACCATAGTTCAGAGATCATGGGTATTCAGGGAGAATTATAGTTCTCCACCATGTGTCTTGGACATGATGATGATCTTCGCAGACCTCATCTATGTTTAGCATACACATCATGCAAAAGGTATATCCTGCCTATCTGAGTGTGCATCATGCATGCCGTACACACAGACACACTCACAGAGGATAAAAAATTTCAGAAAGCCCGGCATATAGAACAGTATAGGCTCGACAGCCCAGAATGAACCACAGGAGGCTGGATTGACTGCCAGAATTCAATGACACTAGATAACATTTTGGCCATTTTTCTTGTGTATTATTACTATTATTTTGGGGCACCTAGATCAACACACATATCCAAAGTTTGGGATCCATTGGACTCTAAAATTAATGAAACAAAAAATCAAACATAACAACAGGTGTCCAGATTGCCAAGATTCAATCTTGGCCATTGGGCCTTCCTGTTAAACACGGACCTATATTATCTTTTTCTCTCAATCACTCACACACACAGACACACACACACACACACGCACATGCATATAAAACACACATATAGATATATAATTGTGAAACTAATAAGAATAGACAAGCATTATGAAAGGAAAACCACTCTTCATAGTTGAAGAAGACAGTGACTCCAAATGTTCTAAATAGAACCAGAATGAGTAATTAGGTGACGAGAGACCTGCCTCATGACCAAGTTTAACACCCATCTCTTGAGCAACACGTGCAGCAACACTCATGGCTGCAACACGACGGGGCTGGGTGCATCCAATCTGCAACAAACTAACCAATAAAATCATTAACTCATACCAACAACATTTGTTGCATAGTTTTTGTTTGTTTATGCAACTTAAAATTATTATCATTATTCCTTTTAAATATGACCTAATAGTTTGTTTTGCCTCCTAAGTCATAAAATTATTTGATATCAGAGGAGAAGCACCTACATTGTAGCTTAAGCAGGAAAAAATGCCTTATTCGCGCTAAATTCCTTCGTGCTAAATTCCTTTGACCAGGTACCGAAGTTTCAGTATTCACTAAATATATAACAAGTGAGAGTATATTCAGAAATATAAATGATTATATGTGCCACATGTGCATATGCTAGTTATGGACAACGAAAGATTATAAAAGACTGGTTTCAACATAATGGCCAAGGGACAATTGTGTTTCCTCATCAGGCATCCAGATGTTAATCATTTGGCACAACTAATTACTTAGTACCAATATTGGAATGCAGTGCGGTCCTAAAAGGAGCATGAAGTGCAAGGAGCATGAAGTGCATGTATATAATACCAAATACTGGAAAGAAGTATGACTATACAAGAAGCAAGAACAACAGTAAAGTTTATACACAAAAAGCCAACATCCAGACAAAAAGGAGTATAATATCACCTTTCCTCGCTTTGTGTAACCAGCTTCATGAAGATACTGGGGTATCTGAGTAGTCTTCCCAGAACCAGTTTCTCCGACTATTACCAGAACCTGCACAAAAGAACTTTGGATTAGCCTAAAACAATATGAACATATTATCTGATGATTATTTGGCGACTATGGATGACTCTTTTGGGGTAATTCAGTGGGGAAGACAGGCCCCTGCCCGTTTTCTTAAGTAGATTAGGAGTTAGCTTTTTGAAGGTATTAGTGGGGTGGTGTTAGTAGTGGGAATGGAAACCACAATGTGGTGACTAGAATGTGGGGTGATACCACCATTCCCAACTATGGAGGACTTACAGAAAGAAAAGGTCATAATAACAAACATATTGGAAGTACCGAAACAATATTAATAAACTAACAAATTATAGCAAAAAACTAGAATACACCAACTTTAAAAACATCTGATTTGACCTCCTAGGCGAGCGCCTACACACCTAGGCAGCCCTAGGGGGAAGGGGAAGGGGGGTGGGGGGGGGTTCTGAAGATTTGGCATATTGGGACTTGTTTGGTTCTTCTCAAGGGACAAGCCATAGCCAAGAAATTTTTTTTTTTTCGAGAGAGAGATTGAAAATTAGATGAGCATACTCGCGAATTAATGATAGGTAGGAAAATGTTTATTCTAATTAACAAACTGAAAATAGGTATTCTCACCTAAATTATAGGTCATCCAGGTCATCTCCAAAAAGTTTAGAAATACTGCCTCAACCACCGCTTGTAGAAATTTCTACACCACAAATACCAACTCAACCCTGCTTCCTGGCGTCCTAATTGTCAAGCCAATAGGAGATCGTCGGGCATCTGGAGATCTCTCCTCAGCATTCTTAATGTCTTAAGAGAAAACACCCGGTTCCACCCTAGAAGTGGCTCTCGAGTAAGTTTCTAGTATGACATTTGGATAGGTCAAACTCTCCACAAGGACCTATTCCCCTCTCTCTTCCTCCTAGCCCTTAACCGTCAAGCCATGGTTTCAGACCTTTTCCCTCTTCAGGGTTTGCCAGAGCCTAGAATCCAATCTTCAGGGGATCCCCCTTAGACTCAGAAATCCAAGAGTTCTTTACCCTTTCCTCCCGTCGTCGCACTACCTTCCTCCCAACCTTTGGTGACGATAGGATAATTTGGTGCTCTGCTCCTTCATAACTCTTTTCGATTTCCTCTTTTTACAAAAAGCTCCTTGAACCCCTACTTTCCCACATGCGCCTGTATCCATCGTGGCCAAGGCCTGGAGTTCCTTGCTCCTCCCAAAGTCAAGGTTTTCAACTGGTTAGCCCTTTGGGAGAGAGCTGTCACAGTCGACCAGCTTCAAAGAAGAGGCATGCCTACCCCCAATCGTTGTACCATGTGTAGGGCTGCTGAGAAACCAATGCCCACTTGTTCATCCATTGTCTCGTCGCTTATCAGCTTTGGAGAGCTATCCTCCAACTGTTCTACCAGTAACGTGACTCCACCAACTATCCCACTTCTCTTCTCCAATGATTTAAAAAGCGGATCGCCCAGCGCCTAGGTAGTGCAGAAGGCCTGCGCGCATCGCCCAGGCCTAGGCGGCCAAATTAAGCGGACGGCTGCCTAGGGCCTGTGCCCTGCCCAAGGGCAGAAATGCAGTTTGTTGAGGGTTTTTTGGGTTTTTTTTTTGAAAAAAATTATTTTTTAAAGGTGGGTTTTAGATTCATTTGAAACCTAAACCCACTAAAGCCTATTTTAGAGAGAGAGAGAGAGAGAAACCTAAAAAAAACTAGATTTTGTGATTTTCATCGAATCGAAGTGTTTCTCAAAGTCATGGGAAATGGATCCAAATATCACCCATTAAGATTAGATTTAGTTTTGGAGTTTTTCTTAGGCATATTAAAGGGTGTTTTTGAAGATTTTAGCATTAGAAAACATCTCAAAGGTGGAAGTTTGGAGATCGAGCAATCAAAGTAAGTGCAAAACCTTTATTGAAATGGATCCAAATATCACCCATTAAGATTAGATTTAGTTTTGGAGTTTTTTTTAGGCATATTAAAGGGTGTTTTTGAAGATTTTAGCATTAGAAAACATCTCAGAGGTGGAAGTTTGGAGATCGAGCAATCAAAGTAAGTGCAAAACCTTTATTTTTTAGATTGTTTGTATTATTTTGAGATGTCTTCTTTAGAACCTAGTCGAAGTAGCGATCCGGGTTGAAAATATGGATAAAACCCAAATCTGAAGGACAAAAATTGTATAAGATGCAATTATTGTGAAAATGATATAAAAAATGGTATAAACCGGTTTAAGAAACATCTTGCCGATATTAAGGAAAATGTTGCCCCTTATAAAAATGTTCCTGAAGCTATCAGAGAGGAGATTAACTAATGAGTTCAGTAAAACAAAAACAGGAACAAAATCCTTGTCATTTGGATAGGTCTATTTCTGGTTCTGCTAGAAGAAATGATCCGGGTTGGAAGTATGGTTATAACCCGAAACCAAACGATAAAAATTATATAAGGTGTAATCTTTGTGAAAAACATACGAATAGGGGTATTAACAGATTCAAGAAACACCTTGCCGGTATTAAAGGGAATGTTGCTTCTTGTAAAAAAGTTACTGAAGCTATTCAGGATAAGATTAGACAATATTTAAATTTAATAGAATAGGAAAAGGAAGAAAATGAGCCTTGTTCTATAGAAATATCTTTTCCAGGTTCTTCTAGAAGTGGCGAGCCGGGTTGGAAGTACGGTCATAACCCGAATCCGAATGACAAAAATTGTATTTGGTTTAATTATTGTGGAAAAGATACTAATGGGGGTATTTACCGGTTTAAGAAACACCTTGCCAGTATTAAAGGGGATGTTGCCCTATGTAAAAATGTTCCTGAGGCTACCAGGGAAGAGATTATATAATATTTGAGATCAAGGAAGCACAAAAAGAAAGAAAAGGGTGAAGAGGCACCAGGTAGAGCAGCCAAGACTCCTAGGGCCTCATCTACACAGAGAAAGAGGGAGGTAGAAGAAGAGGAGGAAGAGGCAGATTCAGAAGAAATAAAGGAGGACAAGCATTATATTGATGAGTGAGATGACTCTGATGATGATGGTCTCGAATCTAATGCATATGATGAGGCTTACCCTACTCCTTCTGATGATGATGATGATGACTGAAGAATGAAGAAGCTTGACTCTTGGTGTTGACTATTGAGTCTTAGACTGTATAGTTTCTGTATATTTTTTCTTATTTTTTAGTTTCTAGTTTCTACTATCTAACTCTTGTGTGTATGGTTGTATAGTTCTAGCATTGTACGAAAATATGGATTATGGACTATCTAAATTCTTTTCATTCAAGAAAATATGGATTATGGATTATGTGTTATATAGTTATATTGTTAGACTTAGAAAGTTAAACTAACACTTTTCTTTCTACTAGGCCACCCAAGTTCTGGGCATCCGCCTCGGCGCTGGGCGGCCTGGACCCCCCGGCCGACTAGGTGCCGCCTAGCGCTTTTTGAAACATTGCTCTTCTCCTCTTTAGACCCCTTCCCTTGGGAAAAATCAGGCATCCTCCTTTGGAAATATGTTGCAGCCCTTCTTTGGACCCATTGGAAAGAGCGCAACAGCAGGATCTTCCGAGGAGAAAGGTCCTTCCCATCAGCCTAATTTGAGCAAATCAAGTCGATAGTCATATTTTGGGCATCGAATCACAAGATCTTCAAAGGCTTCCCCCCCTCGGCCTTCCATTTGGATTGGCCGGCCATGCTTAACCTCAGCTGACATCATGTTCCCCGTACTTCGTTATGGCATCCACCTGAACATGGCCTCATCAAATTGAACTTCGATGGCTGCTCTCTAGGCAAACCCGGACCTGCTGGTATTGGTGGGCGTTTTTCAGAGACCACGAAGGCACCATTCTCACCTCTGTTTCCAAACATATCGGCCACTCAGACTCCCATACAGTTGAGTCCCTTGCACTTCTCGAAGTTCCTCAAACTTTTTTCGACTCTTCTTGGAGCTCAAGACTGATCACAGAAGGTAACTCAAGCAATGTACTTTCCTGGGCTTCAGGCTTGGTGTCTTGCCCTTGGTCCCTAGCCCAGATCTTTTATGAAATCTCCCATCTTAGTAGGGGTCTCACTATCTCCTGGAGTCACATATGAACGAAAACAATTTTCAGGCAGATAATCTCGCAAAGGCGGGTGCTACAAATGCTAGTGATTGAGTGAATTTTGTGTAGACTCAGTCTACACATTGTGGGGCTTTTGCCTTCTACCCTATTCGTTCTCCTCCCTGTTTTAGTGGCTTTTTTATACCTAAGGTGGTGGTTGTATACCGCTCCCACCCTGTGGGTTGGCATTTTTTTCTGTATATATCTTCGCCTCTCCGGAGGCTCATTTTTTGTAAACTTTCTTTCAATACAACTGTTAACTTTCTCAAATTAAAAAAAAAATTCCAAAAAGTTAGATGGATTCATTTTTTATAGAAAGAAAGGGATAAGTCTAACGGAAAATCGCCCGCTTCTTCCATCTCTTGAAACCCTAAAATCTTTATCCATTGTCAAAACATCTTTCTCTACTCTCTAGCTGAAGTCGCAGAGGAGAAGCTTGTAGCCATGGTTCGTTCTTTTGTTCTCAAATCTCTCTCTCTCTCTCCCTGAAGTTGCAGGGACAAAGCCCTAAATTGAAGCCACAGTACGTAATTTCCTTTTAAAACTTTCCTTTTATAGACATTTTTTCATCATGTTCTTCTTCCTTTTCCATCTTCTTCTTCTTCTTTCTCCCCTGTTTTGGGGGAAATGTGAAGCAGGCCAAGGCGCCACCTTGCACCCTCATAGGGAAAAAGGCAGGTGTCTAGCACATGGCTGGACCCTAGGCCCTTTGGTGCAGGGCCCTGCTTGGACCACCTATGCAGCCAAGTGGCAGAATTTTCTAACACTAGAGTACGCTAAATCCATGACTGAAATATGAGTCCAAAACGTTTAACCATTGCTCTCTATGTCAACCAAAATGGCTGAATTAGCTCTACATAAAGATGTATAGTACATGCCATATACCATAAACAAAGGAAAAATGAGCAAGAATAATAGGAAAGGCACATAGGCAAGCATAAATGAAAGAATACATTAGATAAGCTCACTTCACCATGGAAAATGTTGATATAATGCCACAAATATGCAAGTATATACTGATCACATAGTCAGAAACAATAGATAAAATTTTCAGAAATCGTATCCAGATAATGTGAACAAAATCGTGGAATGCCATGTAAGACAACTACACAAACCTGATGGTCCTGAACAGCTTGGAGCAACTCCTCGCGATAGGGATATATGGGTAGTGTCTTTCTCTCATCCTATATACAGGTAAAGAGAATGGGTAAGTGAGACTATTTCAGCACGGAGAGAAGCTCATCCGTAATGAATGTGTTGTAATTTGTAACAGTTGCATCCTTTTAAAACAGCGCCGATAAAAAAATGCCATATGTAATAAGCAGTTACAGTTATTACAATTCCTTGTGCCCATAGCATCAAATAAAATATTATTGACCTTGATTTAAGAGTTAAGTTTCCAAACAAAGTGAGCTCCCATAATCTAAATGCAACCCATTTGCAACTGAATTATGTCAATAAAAGTCCCCAAATAAACCAAGGACAGATTGAAAAGGAAAAATGAACAGTCTCAAACTAAATTCTGGATCAATAAAAATGAAAAAAGAGAAATGACTTAAAGTAGGTTCACCTGAAGTTTTTCTAGCATTGTTTTTGCAGCTAATTTTTCAGTCTCCTCTGGAGACATACCTTCTTCATACTGTTGGACAAAAAATTAATACACAAAATAAATGTATATTGAGTAGAAGGAAGAACGTCATAACACATCAACACAAAGTGATCAGACTTCAACGCTATTAAGTCGGTTTTTGTCCACTAACCTTTGTCCCATCTATCACAGAAGCCTTGATAAATTCAATTTGATCCTCAAAGACATACCTACCAGAAGAATAATGAGAGAGAGAGTGACCATTATTTAGATTCATAGAAACATGTGCATACATGTAATCAAGGCAAAAATAACAGCTCCCACAAAAAAATGAGTGAACAATGTATCTCCAGAAAGGTAGGGTCATACTTTCTGAATTTAATCTCATGTTATAACCCAGGCAAATGAATTTCTCCGATGTCATACACCATTTTCTCTCAGGTAGCAGACACTAAGTACACACTCATGTCCTCCCAGCATCTGGGAGATAAAATGGACATAACATGTGCTTCCATATTAATGGCAATCCATCTATTTCAAGAAACATAGTAATTCTGCAATCGAAAAAATGATAAATAGTTTGATATTTATTTAGGGAAAGAAGCATATTCAATGTCAAGGAAGAATATTTGTCTTCTTTATGTGGTTGGCTAATTCAGCCATGCACTGGTGTCAATAGACGAGAACCACCTGGAAACTTTACAGCAACGAAGTCTTTGGTATTGGAGAGGGAGGTGAAGAATGTTTATTTCGGTGCAGTAAAACAGGCATATTGGCTAAAAGCTATGGGAGGAATAGGTTTCTTTTCTTTTTATTTGAGGAATATTGCCTTGAGAGCAAAACTGTTCAAGAAGGTTCTTCTTGCATAGTGACACTGCAATTGCTTGGAAGAGAGAGTAAAAACTTACTGATAGTCTTCAGCTGCTTGCTTTTGGTTCAGTGATCCAAACTTCATAGTTGCCTTCCCTGTAACAAAACATTCATTAGAAGTTACATACAGCAAGGCTTCAAATTCCACAATTGAAAATTTATAAACTACTAAGTTGGCAACCATAAAGATCTATATATCCATAACATACCATCAAGTATAATGAGTTAGTGCACCTTAGTATGATAAATAAATATAGTACAGATAATCAAAATATCTCACCAATTTGGTGCTTCTCCCATGCCTCCTGTTCTGCAAATGGGTTCATTTTTTCCTCAGCCCCAGGATCCCTACACCAATAGCAGAGTACTTAATAACTATCAAGTAAGTGATTAAGGGAAGATGCTTAAAGAAAGATATAAAATCTTAGGTGTTTGTAACCATGCTAGCACTCATATTTTCTACAATTTGCTAGCACCTCCGAAACTGTCCTATGTTGACAATGGATGACCAGAGAGTGCCATTCCTCTGTAAGAAGTCCATCAGAACATAGAAAACCAAATGCCAGGTGAAAAGTTCAATTACTTTTACCGCTAGGTGAAAAGTTCAACTACACCTACAACAACTGCCCTCATTATTAATATACCTGCGAAAGAGAGCATTTCTGATAAAAAAGGAGGTTAGCACAGCTCTTTAAAGTTTGCACATTGTGTTATATACAGTGATTAAAAACGTGAACTCAGGAAAGCTCGCCAAGTTGACTCAATTTGCTTGCTTACCTTGTTTTCTACTTACAAATAAGAATTCGGATGTACCCAAGTTTTCGAAATATATACTTTATGCATTATCACACAAATGTTAGTTAATGAAGTGCTTAGAAGTGCACTTTGACTTGGTAATTTAGAAGTGCACTTTGACTTGGTAAGATATAAGGGTCGAATCCAACTGGAGACAACGGATATTTCTCTTTACCTTTTTGCAGATTTGAAAAACTCAGACAATTTTTTCCACTTATTTACTATTTAACTCAGCAAGATGGGTTGGCTTTGGCAATTCCCAAGTAGACCATCTAGTTTGAGTTTTTGACCACTCCTAAAACACACATACACACACATGAGAGAGAGAGAGAGAGAGAGAGAGAGAGAGAGAGTAGTTA